TGTAGCAAAGGTGATAATGGCTTGAGCAGCTCTAGGCCAGTCGGCCAAAAATCTATTCCCTTCTAGCCAACTTCCCAAAAATTAATTTGTCAAAACAATCTGTTCCCCTAATGTCAATTAGCTGAATTTTTAATTTTCCAAGTGATTGATTTACCAAATTTATTAAATCTATTAAACAAAAATCTTAAACCGGGTTTATGACAGTTTCCCACAACCATTTTGGCGCTGTCACCCCAAGAATAGAGAAAGATTCGAAGGCAGGCAGAAAGGCCAGGGAAGGTGCAGAAAGGGCCTAGTGTCTGAAATGGGAAACAGAAGCCACACTGACATGCAGTCAAGTTGACTGACAAAGCTGCAGGAAATGAGTGCCTTGACCTTGTAAACTCATACTCAAAGAAATCCTTGGGATTTTGCCTAGTTAGGATTTCAGTCATTCCACAAACTTATTTTCAACCAGTGGAACAACTTCTACCTAGAACTAGGGTGATGGTTGTAAAAATGGAAAGAATTGGGAAGCTATGTGATATATTGTGTAGGTAAGATCAGCAAGACTGGCTGTTGGATTAATTCAGGGAGAATAACGTTAAGGTGGCTGATGAGTTGGATGTGGGGACAGGGAGAAAGAGGAGTGGTCAAGTGTGACGCCCAGGTTTCTGTTTCAAATACCTGGGGGATGGAGTTGCCAATTGCACACATAATAAAGATCACAGGAATGGAATTAAAGGGTAAGTTTGAACATGTTAAATCTGAGATCCTTGTTAGATAAACAAGTAGATATTTCATATTTATATTTAATATGTGGTGGGCTCAAAAGGGGGGTATGGGCTAGAGATAGCAATTTGGGAATCTTTGACCTATAGATAGCATTTAAGCCATGGCAATAGGCCAGGGCACCTCAGCAGAGTGTGGAGTGGAGTGAAAAAGGGAGCCGAGATTAATCTCTCCTATATAAAAGGCCGAATAGAGAAGGAGGAACCAGCAGAAGAGACAGAAAAGAATTATCTGGAAAGGGGGAAGGAAA